ATTCTGATTTATTTTAATAGTCAAGGTCATCCATCGTATTCGCTTCTTTGCTACAATACAAATTATAAATCCAAATATAAACAAAAAAAGTCACTTTCTATAGAGTTATCAATTCTGGAGATACCATTCAGGGCAATTTGCAAGTCAGTCATGAAAGTTATTGATTTGTTTTGTCCGGCATGCCATTGAGCAGAGTGCCGGTCTTTGTATTGTTTGTTTGCTATAAAATCCTCTTGCATTTTCCGTTTTCTCGATCACACCTTCTTCCTTAGTTTCTTGTCCCTATTTCAGATTTAAGGATGTGGTCAGGTCAGTTTAGTACATTTCATAATATAAGTATTTCTTTCTTGCATTTTCCGTTTTCTCGATCACACCTTCTTCCTTAGTTTCTTGTCCCTATTTCAGATTTAAGGATGTGGTCAGGTCAGTTTAGTACATTTCATAATATAAGTATTTCTTTTCTTTCTTTCTACGTGGAATAGAACATAATTTTGTACAAAAGAATGCATGCACATGTATTTTACCATGTTCCAGCCAAGTATTTTCAAACAGTAGAAGTACCTAAACTATAATGGGTGTATGTATGGAATAGAGCATAAATTTTACTGAAGTGTCATGTTCCTGCTGTCGAGGTGTGATATGGAATGGTGAGAGCACACAATATGAGATGATAATTAAAACAACTGAATTCTCAGATAGGAAAGGATTTAAACATACTTTATAAGCATGATTACAAGCCAATCTTTCGAGGGCGCATAAATTTGATGTGCTGAAATCAGTAGAAGCTAAAAACAGAAATACTACATGTAAAAAGAAAATAGTTATTCATCGTATTTTGTACAAAGCATAGGTACTTGTTTGTCAAACTCCACTGCATTTATCCTCCGTTTTCTGATCGCCTGGTCCTTAGACCACCAACCCAAGGCGTAGCTACACTGCCAATGATGTATCATCCGTCCTGTAGACATTCGACCTTGTCTTCACTGGCAACTTCAGCTATCTTATCAGGTACACGCAACCTTATGATTTCTTCAATCCCTTCTTTGATTACTTCTCTTTATTTGTGCACTCCTTGAGATTTGTTAGCATAATAATGGATGCTAAACTTAATCTCTATTATGGGAGGTGTTATGGAGCATGTTAGGATTAAGTAACTGGAACCGCAAGAGGCACGACAGCACCTTAATGGCTGCCGTGCTTCAGGGGCAGGGGAGGACTCGAGAAAGGACACCGGGATTAGATCAGTTCTTTTACAGAAAGGATTAGATCAGTTTATTCCCTGCTTAATTGTAACAAGTACAAGTGGACCTCCTTATATAGAGCTAATATGTAAAGATAGCAACTACTAAAACGCTACCAACTAATAATATATATCTCTAATTTTTGGGATATCTCTCTAGCCATACAACATATACAGAACAGGAGGGCGTATCCCAAGATTTAGTGCATACTAAAATCATAGGTGCATGACTGGTAAGATAAATTGGAGAATTATAGTGCATACTCAAATCCCCGGCTGTAATGATGTTCCTATTTACATAAAACATGATGAGATGGTAATTTGAATGGAAGTTTGTCATCTTATGGCAACCATAATATGC